AGTGATATGTGTGGGTTTGCGTGTTTGTGTGCGCGTGTTATTGAAACGGTAATGTATGTATGGGGAGGGACGGGAATGTGTGTGTGTGTGTGTGCGAGTGTGTATGTTTGTGTGTGTGTGTGTGTGTGTGTGAGTGTGTGTGTGTGAGTGTGTGTGTGAGTGTGTGTGCGTGTGTGTGTGTGCTAGATAGCGAGGCCTTTGTGGTCAACAGTCAAGGTAGCCTAAAAAGGTTTCCTTACAGTAACCATGTGGTATGCGACGTTATGTGATGTGTAATACATGACGTGATAATAATAATATGTGAAATGTAACAAAACGTAAATGTGATATGTGGCGTTAAATAGGTGATATGTATTTTGTAACATTAACAAATGGTACGTGACATTGTCACATTACCGTATTACAGGTGACATGTGAGGTGTGATATATGTGCTGTGTGACATTTGACATGTAATTCATTATAATATGTAAATGTTAAATTTAATTAGGTTTACAACGTTGTACGTTACTTCTGTTTGTTTGGGTGAAACGAAGCCCATCAGCATACTATTGGTCAATAAGTGCTGAGAAGAAGTGGAGAAGTACAGACATAAACAAGCGAGGGAAGTAAAAGAATTCGGATAAGCAAGTCCGTAATTTTTTTCTAATTGCGCCATTATGTTAAAGTGGCATTGGTGAGCTGTGACATAGGCCATATATGCGTGTGCAAAACGTTTGTGAGAAGTGTGAAGCAGGAGAAGAACCCTTCAACCATAATTTTGTGATATGCAGAAAGCGACATATTTATGTTAACATATTTTAAGTGGCATATGGGACGTATGCGGCGTCAAGGGACGAGTGTGGGACATTCTACTCGGTACGTGATACTAGATCTAGATATTATGGCATGCTATACAAGAGGTGAGGCGTGTGGTGGCACATTCAACTTGGTATGTGATACTGTGGCATGCTATACATGAGATGTGATATGTGGTGGCACATTCAACTTGGTATGTGATACTGTGGCATGCTATACATGAGGTGAGGCGTGTGGTGGCACATTCAACTTGGTATGTGTTACTGTGGCATGCTATACATGAGGTGAGGCGTGTGGTGGCACATTCAACTTGGTATGTGATACTGTGGCATGCTATACATGAGATGTGATATGTGGTGGCACATTCAACTTGGTATGTGATACTGTGGCATGCTATAC